GACATATTTTAGCCCCAAGAAGAAAGTTCTGGGCCAGCACAATGGCTCACTTGGCTGATCCTCCACCTGCGGCACCAGCACCCTGGGTTCTAGTCCCGGTTGGGGTGCCAGATTCTGTGCCGGTTGCTCCTCTTCCAGTCCAGCTCTCTGCTGTGGCCAGGGAGTGCAGTGGAGGATGGCCCAGGTGCTTGGGCCCTGCACCTGCATGGGAGACCAGGAGGAAGCACCTGGCTCCTGGCTTCGGATCGGCACAGCGCACCAGCCATAGTGGCCATTTGGGGGGTGAACCAACGGAAGGAAGACCTTTCTCTCTCTTTTTCTCTCTCACTCACTGTCTAACTCTGCCTGTCAAAAAAAAAAAAAAAAAAAAAAAAAAGTTCTGGTACGTGCTGCAGCAGGGACGAGACTCGGAGGCGCTGTGCTACGGGAAACGAAGGGGCGCATGCGCTGCAATTCCCCCTGCAACGGGGGTCTTCGGTGTTCATAGAAAACGCTATCAGGAAAAAGCTGGGCCTGGATGCCGAGAGTGTTCTGTGCTGAAATAAACTTACCTTCCAGTTACACGTTCGCATGAAGTGTCCTGCAGAGTCCGAGCCATGGAGACAGGCAGTGGAGGGGTGGAGACCTGGGAGCGCGATGGCGCGGGGCCTTGCCTTTGCAGGGTGGGAGGAGCCCGGGAGGTCAGCTGCGCGACCATGGATGCGCCCAGCATCACTGAATCGTGTGCTTAACAGTGGTTGAGGCACTGTCTTTTGTTTTGTTTTGTTTTGTTTTGTTTTGTTTTGTTTTGTTTTGTTTGAAAGGCTGAGTTACAGAGAGGAAGAGGCAAGGGGAAAGAGAGAAAGGTCTTCCATCTGCTGGTTCACTCCCCAAATGGTTGCAACAGCTGGAGCTGGACCCATTCAAAGCCAGGAGCCAGGAGCTTCCTCTAGGTCTCCCATGCAGGTGCAGGGGCCCAAGGACTCAGGCCATCTTCCACTGCTTTCCCAGGCCATAGCAGAGAGCTGGATTGGAAGTGGAGCAGCCAGGCCTCAACTGGTGCCCATGTGGGATGCCGGCACTGCAGGCTACAGCTTTATACCCTGTGCCACAGCGCCGGCCCTGAAGCACTAACTTTCATGCACATTTCAGCACAATGGAGATATTTTAAATTTTTTTAAAAAAAAAGGGCCGTGCACACTGGTGAGCTGAACATGGGGGCTGTGAGTTGAGGTCTTGCTGGGCCCCACAGAGCCCTCCAATGCAGCTGTGATGTTTCTCATCTCCTCCACTGAACGCTGTGTGGCCATGAGGTCTTCTTGGTCACATGGCTGTGTCACCCTCGGTGTCGCCCTGTCAACTCCCCTTCAGACAGGGCCTTGGCTGGCTGGCGTGGGGTGGGGGCTGTGTTTCCTTCCCAGAGTTGTGCCTGGGGGTGCAGGGGCCCCCTCGTGTCTTCCGCAGCGCCCGTCTCTCCAAGCCAGCTGACCGAGGGAGCTGCTCTGAGCAGACGGGACCCTGGGTTCCATGGTGTGCGTGCCCGCCCCATGCCCGGGGGTGGCATTGTCTGAGCGCACACACCCCCTGACCCAGCCGTCCCAGCACTGTGGATGGCAGTGATGGCTGCTCCTGAACGGAAAAGCCAGACACACTTCTGGCGTCCATCCGGGAGGGCCTGGATTGAGTTGAATCAACCCACAGTGTGGAGCTGCCATGAACAGTGGCGCTGATGGTTACGAACAAGAAGCAAGCACTGTGATGGACGCAGCCAGGTCAGGGAGAGCAGGTTGCATCTACGCTCTCTGTTTTCCAAAATAAAACCCACAAAATTGTGTAGGCGCCCAGACCCAGGCGCAGGGAAGTGCCCACCCCTGGGCTGAGCAGGGCTGAGCTGTTCTGACCTGTAGTTTCTCCTGCTTTTTTAATTGTGTTGATTGTGTCCGCTCTGTGTGCATTGCTCAGGGGAAAAAGCAGGCAAAGCGCTTACCGAGCTCCACGTGCCCCACCCCCGCACCGTTCACGAAAGCCTTCGGTCCTTTGGTCCCCTGGGAACCCAGCTCGTGCAGGAGCACGGGGGCTGGCGCGCTCGGGGTATAGCACGGGGAAAGCTGAGACTGACCAGGACACGGGCCTGTGCGTGGGCCTGAGTGGGCCCATTGTCCACACGCTGGGCCCCCGGCTGCCTTGTGTGGCCTCTTAGACCTGGGAGGCCCCTGTGCTGCTGGTGGTATGCTCTGCCCAGTACGCCCCCCCCCCACCACCGGGGAAATGCAGACTGTGGGACACCTACAGTCTGGAGGGTGTCTGGCTCACTGCTCGACCACAGTTCAGGCAGCCCCTGCTTTGCATCTGGAAGCTGTCAGGGTGAGGCTCTGGGCCACCAGGGTGGAGCCAAGGCCAGCAGGTGGCGTGCTGGCTTTGGGCAGGTGGCTAGACATGTTGGAGCCTCAGCTTTCCCATCTGGAAAATGGGGCTGGGAGGGAGCGTCTCACGTCGGTGCATCGTGGATTAGGCCATGCGCATGCGTTATGATGATCCTTGTGCCTTTGCTGCTGCTGTAACAAAATGCCTGAGAAGGGGTAACTTAGAAAGAGCAGGGGTTCATGGGCTCCCAGCTCCCGAGGCTGGCAAGTCTGAGAGCAGTGATGCCGGCTCCGGGGCGCCTGCAGCCTCGTCAAGTGGCCAGGAGCAAGTGCGTCGGCCGCGTCTCTTCCCGTCCCCGTAGAGCCCCTGATCCATCGCGGGGGCCCCGCCCTCGACACCTTCCCTCCCGAAGGCCCCACTGTTAACTCAAGGATCCAGTTTCTCCATGAGCGCTGGTGGGGCCGACGTGAGGACCCTGCCTGTTTCCACTCACACAGAGGGGTACTTGTAGGAAGGCGGGGCTCCGAGGGGAGCAGACGAGGCTTTCGGAAGGAGGCCCCACGAAGCGCCGCCCCCTCCCCAGAGGGTGACCGTGCAGGGGCAGGCCCTTCCTCCCAGGGATGCCGTCTCGACTCACACACCCACGCCTGGCGCTCTGGGGTGCACCAGCGACCACTTAGCATCAGGCTGACCTATATTCTGATTAGTGGTCAAGTGTTTCTGTATCTGAGAGTCAGAGAAAGAGGGCGAGAGCATCCATCCTGTGGTCCACTCCCTGAAGGCTTGCAGTGGCTGGGGGCTTCGAAACCCTAGGAGACTGGGTGGCGGAGACCCAACTCCTCGAGCCGTCACTGCTGTCTCCCTGGACGGGCATTACCAGGGGGCTGGAGTAGGGGCCAAGACTCAAACCCAGGTGCTCCAGCGTGGGACACGGCGTCTTAACCACCAGGCTAATCGCCTGCCCGTCTGCTGCTTGAGATTCTTCCTTTCCAGTGAGAGGTTCGGTCCACTGGTGATAAAGCAGTTCCATCTGTCCCCATGGAGGAGGTAGCTGGGCCGTGTCCCATCTGTTAGGCAACTGCTCTGTGCCTGGCCTCGAGGCTGTGTTCATTCATGGGTCCCGTGCTCCTGCCGCCCTGTGAGATGCATGCTGTTCCTCCCTCCTGTCCACGCGGCCATTGGGGAATGGGCCCAGGGCTCACAGCAGGGTGCCCGCACAGCAATGCCAAGGCCTGCTCTATCCCTGAAAAGGTGACGTCATTCCTTCACACACTCCCACCCCTCACTACACAACGCAGGAAGTGTCTCCTCCGTGGGAAAAGGGATTAGGAAGCACTCGGTGGTTCTTGAACCTGGGGACCTGGTCTCAGCTGCTGCTCTGAATTCTGGTCGGGGGCTCTCAGGATCCAGGCCCTTTCTGCACCTGCTGTGGAGCCCGTCCCATGCGAGACGCCCTCCGAGAAGAGCTTCCCGGTGCTGTGCCGTGGTCCAGCCCCGCTCTTCCTGTTGCTCTGTCCAGAGTCCCTGGGGGAGACAGGCAGGAGGAAGGCTGGCGGTGTGTGCCGAGTGTTTCCTCTCCTGCCCGGCACGGTGCTGGGCATTTCCAGCTTTGTCAGCCGCCTTCTTGGACAGGCGTGGTTAGCTCGTCTCACCAGGCTCAAAGAAGCCACCCAGCGAGTGCGTGTGGAAGCTGCTGTCGACTCTCCCTCGTTCCCCAGGAAGAACAGGAGGGAAAGGCCTGGGTGCCTCCTGGGCTGAGCCGGGCAGGGGCCCCCGGCACCCAGGGGCTGCGTGCCCCACACCTGAGCCTTTCTCACCCCGGCAGTCGTGTTAGGGGCAAGGGTGGGCATCTGGGCCTCCCAGGGGTCTGCTCACCCTGAATCCCCTCGGGAAGGGATGTACAGATGTCTGTACCTGCTTGGGCCCTGGTACGTGCAGTCTGACCCCTGCAGCTCTGAGAGTCCCAGGGAGCTGTGGGGGTCAAGAGGGGCTCCTGGGAGGCCTGGGGTCTCAGAGCGGAGCCACAGCCTGGAAGAGGGCAGAGAAGCTGGTGGCTACTTCTAAGCCCCTGTCCTGAGGGACAGAGACAGGCCTGAGGGGGAGGAGTCAGGTAGGAGGAGTCGGGGGTGGGTGGGATCCCTGCAGGTATTTGGCGGCTGAGCTGTCCATCTCTGTGGCTGTAGGCCTGGGCCAAGGAGAAGGTGCAGGTGAGGACAGGAGTGAGGGGAAGCACCTGTCAGCGGCAGACCCCCTGGAGATGCCACAGCACCGTGCGATCTTGGGCTTCCCAGCTCTGGTGGTTCTAAGAGAGGGTTGGGTACAGGTCAGAGTAGATGCGGTGACTGCCAGGAGGTGGTCACAAATGGAGGTGGGGGACAGCGATGGCAGCAGACAGGAGAGCGCGGGGTCTGCCCTTAAAGCAGCTGTGAGTGCGTGGAGTGCACACCCAGTTCTCCAACCCCAGGAGGCCAGTGACTGTCCAGTGGCCGGGGGCATGGGGCCAGAACCCCCATGCACGTTCTGCTCTGAGCTCTGTGGCCCCGTGTCCCCTGGGGGGAAGGAAGAACAGGACACGGAGCACAAGGGGGCCTGCGGGGCTGCACAGCACACGGGGGCTGCCTGCGCCTGTGCACTGAGCAGATGCCTCCCCCATGCAGGTGTGGAAGAGGTCGGGGGCCTGGTTCTACAAAGGGCTCCCCAAGTACATCCTGCCCCTGAAGACCCCCGGCCGCGCTGATGACCCCCACTTCCGACCCCTGCGCGTGGAGCCAGCACAGCCCGAGCCCAGAAGCACTGAGAGCGGCCGCGTCTACACCTGGGCCAGAGGAAGAGGTAAGACTGTGCACCCTCTCTCCCGGGCCAGGCAGCAGGGCGGGGATGCGAGGCCACACCCACCTGCCCCTTGCCTCTGTTCCTGGTGCATGGGCAACGCGGGAGTGTGCCCAGGGCGGCTTCACACGCCAGCGCCCTGAGCAGCGCACGGTGGCCGTGGCGCCAGGGTGGAGCGTGGAGCGTTTTTCACATGGTGTCTAGGGAAGGGAGGACTCCAGCTTCCCGGGTCCTACGGAGTCAGCGACTGTGCCCAGTGCCCCGGGTGGCTGCAGTGGCGCTCGGGGAGGGCTGTCCCAGCCTGGCCGCTCCAGGCTGCATGTTCCCACGCATGGTTTTGTGGTCAAAGTTGCCGGCCTCACGGCAGGCCCAGGAAGCGGTCCAGGCTAGTGTGAAACCGCCGCCGCCCTTCTTTATGTCGCCGGCTGTTCCTCTCACTGCGAAAGAAAGCAACGTATGTTCAGCATAAAAGTTGTCAGGCTGTAGAACAGTGCATTTGAGGAGGTGGAAATCCCCTCCCAGAGGGTCTCGTGTCCGGCCAGGCATCCCCCCCACAAGCCCCCAGTCTGCCTCTGGCTCCACCAGTGCACCACGGTGTAGTGACCACGGGGCTGGCACGCAGAGACAAGGCAGGTAGGGGCGGCTGCAGCGGGCAGGAGGGAGGGGGCTGCCCCAGAGGGGCGCCGTGGCCAGCCAGTCCTGGGTGGGAGCTGGCGGGAACTTGTTGGGGAGGTCACCACCGTCCTCCCTTGGAGCTGGGACTTTCTCCTGCCCGAGCCCTGCCGGGTGCTCTGTGTCCCTCAGACTGCGGGAAGAGGTGGCCGCCCACCGGCCGTGTTAGTGCTCTGCCTCCAGCAGGCAAGGCGGGCCTGCGGTCTGTGAGCAGGTGCAGCCTAGCCCAGCCCCAGGCCCGTGCTGCAACGTGAGCGCCACATCAGCACACGTGTGTACACATGTACTGCTCTCCTGGGCGGGCATACATGTGCAGGCACACACGAGCCTCTGCCGCCCCCGTGGCCACACAGACACGGTGGCCCTTGAATGCATGGCCCCAAGACTGCATCCCAGCACCCTAGGTCTCCACTTGCTGCCCGGGCTCGCTCTGAGGCTGGCTGCATGGAGGCCCTGTCCTGCGACCTGGGCCTGCGACCTGGGCCTCGCTCCAAGGCTGGTGTGGGGAGGGTGGTGGGAGTGGGCAGGACCGACCATGGGGGAGCCCAGGGCTGCGGGGTAGAAGAGGCAGGCAGAGCGGACAAGCTGCGGCCCAGGCATGGATCAGCAAGGAGGGCCCTCCCTGGGCCGCTGTACTGGCCATGCCCTCTTTTTAAAAATCCTCCAATTAATTAACGAATGCGTCTGAGAGACAGAGAGGGTGTAGGACAGAGACAGACAGGTCTTCCATCTGCCAGTTCATTCTCCAAAAGCCAAGCCAGGTACTCACCCCAGGTCTCCTACATGGGTGGCAGGGACTCCGTCGCCTCTCCGGGTGCACATTAGCAGGGGCTGGGGTCAGAAGTGTACTGGGGTGTGGGGCACCCTCACAGTGCTGTAGCCAGCCCAAACAGAGCTGGGATGGGATCAGTGACCTGCACTGGAGGCCAGGCTGGGCCACCACGCTGGCGGCTCCACACGGGCAGGGCGGGGCCGAGACCTCAGGATGCAGCCGGGGTGACGTGGAATCGATGCTCGCTAGAAGATGAATGAGCGAAGGGAGCAGCCAGCCACCCTCTGCAGGAAGCTGAACAGCCTGTGGGGCTCCCGCAGGGCCGGGGGTACTTGGAGGCGGTCAAAACCACCCTGCCCCCCCCCCCAATGCCCCACCCTGGCCTCACCACACCAGAGCTCATGAGGACATCAGCGGTTCCTGCTCAAGGCTGCTGTCTGCAACTCTCTCCCCTCAGCCATTCCTCCTCGTCCCTCTCCATGCCCTCGGACAGGTGCACCTGCTGCTCGCACCTCTCCCAGCAGCCTGTTCTGTCTGTGCCCCTTCGGGGAGGAATCAGTGCTCACAGGCCGTGAGCGTCTTGTCCAGAGCAGTCGAGTGAGGGAAGTGGCTCCTTTTCCTGCTCCTCTGAACTCTCGTTGCTAATTAATTGCGCAAGGATGCGTGACCTGTGTTAGCACAGTAAGCGAAAGCTAAATGAAGAGTAAAACCCTCTCCTGTTCGCCACCCTTTTCTGTCTTGCTGCAGACCTACACTGGCTCTGGGACTCGGGGGCTCTGTGGAGGTTTTTTGTTCTGCTTTTGCAGAGCAACAAAATTAAGGCCCCATCCCTGGGTCGGCGTGTTGCCTTCTTCCCAGAGAAGCCTGGCACAGCAGGGTCCCTGGGGCCTCCCTCTTGATGGCTGGGTGACAGCCCGTGGCTTGCATTTAGTCACTCAACTACTGGGGGAAACGCAGGTTGTTCCTAACTTTTTTTTTAATATTTATGATTTATTTATTTATTTGAAAGATGGAGTTACAGAGAAGCAGAGGCAGAGAGAGAGAGAGATCTTCCATCCAATGGTTCACTCCCCAATTGGCCACAACGGCTGGAGCTACGCCGATCCAAAGCCAGGAGCCAGGAGCCAGGAGCTTCCTCCGGGTCTCCCATGCGGGTGCAGGGGCCCAAGGACTTGGGCCACCTTCTACTGCTTTCCCAGGCCACAGCAGAGAGCTGGATTGGAAGTAGAGCAGCCGGGTCTCAAACTGGCACCCATATGGATGCCGGCACTGCAGGCAGGGGCTTTACCCGCTACGCCACAATGCCAGCCCCTGTTCCTAACTGTTTGCCCCCACAAAAAATTCTGAAATGTCCTCTGAGGTGCAGCCTGATGTGCTGGTGCTCTCATTTCCGTGGGCAGGCTTCCAGAAGGGTGATTGTATGTACGTGTGTGTTTTAAGATTAACTTATGGCCAGCGCCACAGCTCACTAGGCTAATCCTCCGCCTTGCAGCGCTGGCACACCGGGTTCTAGTCCCGGTCGGGACGCCAGATTCTGTCCCGGTTGCCCCTCTTCCAGGCCAGCTCTCTGCTGTGGCCAGGGAGTGCAGTGGAGGATGGCCCAAGTGCTTGGGCCCTGCACCCCATGGGAGACCAGGAGAAGCACCTGGCTCCTGCCATCGGATCAGCGCAGTGCGCCGGCCGCAGGGCGCCGGCCACAACAGCCATTGGAGGGTGAACCAACGGCAAAAGGAAGACCTTTCTCTCTGTCTCTCTCTCTCTCACTGTCCACTCTGCCTGTTAAAAAAAAAAAAAATATTAACTTATTTGTGAGGCAGAGTAACAGCGAGAGGAGAGACAGAGGGAGATCTTCCATCTGCTGATTCATTGCCCAAATGGCTGCAGCAGCCAAGGGTGGGCCAGGCCAGAGCCAGGAGCCAGGAGCTTCTTCTGAGTCTCCCACATGGGTTCAGGGGCCAAAGCACTTGGGCCGTTCTCCTCTGCCTTCCCCGGCCATAGTAGGGAACTGGATCGGAAGTGGTGCAGCCAAAACCTGAAACCAGCATTCTGATACAGCATGCCAGCATTGCAAGTGGTGGCTTAGCACTGGCCCCTGTGTTCGGAATCTCAGGAGACATCGCCAAGCAGTGTTCCTAACAGGCCCCTTCCCTCCCCGCAGCAAGACTGCCCCTTGACCCTTGACCCTTGACCCGCTGTCTGTGAGCGTCAGTTCTGGTCCTGAGTGCTGTACCTGGAGAGACCTGGTGTGTGTAAGCTGGCGCCTCTGAATGTCTCCTCCCGTGGTTACTGTTCACTGACCGTCCACATTCCGCCTTACCCTGGCCTGGTCACACCCGCTGCCCCTTGTCACCGAGCTGCCCCATCCTGGCCTGCAGCCACTCCTTCCAGGGCGGGGACGTTACACGGGCTGGAGGTTTTTCTCCGTACTCCCACCTTCTGCTGGTGTGACCGTGGCCCTGGGTACCGCACCTCTCGACACTCAAACACGGGTTCTTCTTGGCGTGAACTCGAGTTTGTCTTTCTTTTGCCTATGAGATTCCTATCCTGCTTCCACATGTCTTCCTCAGTCCAAAATCCAAGGGAAGACATTCTGCTGGATAAAAAGCCTAACTGCAGTGAGAGAAAGGGGAATCACAAATGATAAAAGTCACCAAAGGAGGAGCGATCCCAGCAGCAGTGCTGCTGAGCGCGGGAGCCCCGGCTCAGACACAGGTCAGGGCCGCCGTGGCCACCCAGCCCGCAGCGGTTTCTAGTCTGCCGGTGTGATCAGGCGAGACAGGAAAACCGTGTTAACACTGGGAGAGAGGAGAGAAGGAAAGAAGGCCTCCGTTTGTGGGTGATAGGACTGAATACCAAGAAAACAGAGCGGATTATGCTAAAAACAGTCTGCCAGGATGAATGAGAAAGTAGAGGAATTGGCAAAACACAAGATAGATCCTTTTAAAAATATCAAGCTGGGGCCGGCGTTGTGGCATAGCAGGTAAAGTCCACCACTCTCAACACCAGCATCCCATATGGGCGCCGGTTTCGAGTCCCAGCTGCTCCACTTCCAATCCAGCTCTCTGCTATAGCCTGGGAAAGCAGTGGAGGATGGCCCAAGTCCTTGGGCCCTGCCACCCACATGGGAGACCCGGAAGAAGCTCCTGGCTCCTGGCTTCAGATCAGCCCAGCTCTGGCTGTTGCAGCCATCTAAGGAGTGAACCAGTGGATGGGAGACCTCTCTCTCTCTCTCTCTCTCTTCTTTCTTCTTTCTTCTTTCTTCTTTCTTCTTCTTTCTCTATCTGCCTCTGCCACTCTGTAACTCTTTCAAATAATAACTAAAATCTTAAATTGCTTTTTAATTTTTAAAAATAAATAAATGAAAATATCAGGCTTGTCTCTGCCCTGGCCAATTACAAGTGGAAATAGGAAAGTCCTTTTATAATCCCCCCAGCAAGCCATCAGAGCTGCAGGAGCAGTGTGAAGAGGAGAGCGTGTGGCCGTCCCCGTGGGCTTGGGCTGCAGCAGCAGGACCTGCCGCCCTCGCAGCCCTAGACGCCGCAGGCCAGGGTGGAGTCGC